CTGCTGTTCTCCTCTATACTACGATGTGAGACTGGTACCTCTTCCTATTTACCATCCTGTTTCCCCCACCCTGTCCAAATGTCTGGCTCGCTGTTCTGTCCTCCCTGGCAGGGCTGATACAAGATTTAGGGCAGTGTGGGGCAGGCTGCCCATGGGCTTTCCCACTCAGGAAACACTCCACCAAGGCTCGTTTACCTGACATGGGGGGGCAGGCTGGGCTGGGGCCCCCATATCTTACTGGGAATACCCTGAGTGTACAGGGAGCTGGTGGCCCTCATTGAGGTGGCTGCGGGTGCTGCTATTTTCTACTTTCCCCACTCAACCAGCCCTGTGCCCAGGTCTGGTGGGGAAATCACAGCCCCTGGCTTTCCATGCTTTGAGCAGTATTCCTGGGGCTCTTCCTGTCCTCCCTCCTGCCCTTGCTGCAGGGGCTGCCTGCCAAATGCATCACATACTGACCTGTGCAAGCCATATCCTGAAGCAGTGCATATAGCTGGAAACCCTAAGGGTGACTTGGGTACCAGCATGTTTGTGAGGCACCCCTGGCACTGGGTTAAATCAAAGGTCATTCTTGAAAGCTTCAAGCAAAAGACTGGAGGGCAAGATCTGCAAATGCTTCAAGATTACCCTCAAATGATGGGACCTGCAGTTTATCCTGCTCTGAGGAGCAAGAGCGGAGCCTAGCGGAGCAGAAGTTGGGGTCCAAGGCAGCTCCTTCCCACATCTGACATGGCTGCATGTAGCAGGGGTAGGCTTGCTCTGAGCTGTAATGCTTGTGCTGCCTGGGGCTGGCACAAGGACATGGGGACAGGGCAAATCCCAGTCAGGGAAAGCTGGTGGTGGGTTTTGAGGAGATGTGAACCTCCATGCTGCCACCATGTAGCATGGCATGGACTGGGTGAGTTGCACCCATGAAGCTGGGCATATCCTTCAGGAGCTTGCTGGATCCCCTTTGGATCCCATTTCCAATTCTGGTATCCACAGTGTCCTGGAGCACAGCCTACATAGGCTCTGCTTCAAAAATGATCCATGAAGTTCCTCCTTCACTACCTTGTGGATGAGGGGGACTTGTTGCTTCCCTTCCCACATTACTCAGGGTCTGCGTGGGCCACATGGCACCCTAGCTCTGGAGGCCTGTCCTGGTCCATGCAGGACACATCCCTGTGTGCCATTTCAGCCTGGCTGGTTGCTCTCTAAGGCCAAGGAGAACCACACGCAGCACTTGAGGATGTACATGATGGTTTCTATATTGCTTTAACATTAAAGTTTCACCTCAGTACTATTAAACTTTTAAAAAGGAAGTTACATAAACCCAAGTATGTTAATTAATAAAAATAAATTTATCAAAAGTGATTATTAAAAAACCCAAACAAATTCAAACACACTCATGGCCAGCAGCTTTTCCAAACAGTTCCTGGTGTCTGGTGTCACCTCTTTGACTGCTGCCCTGCACTGAGATATTCCAGGCAGCTCTGCCCATCAGAGTTGGTAGGGCCAGGAGCCTGCCTTGCATGGCTACCCTGTGTTGCTTCTCCCCCTCCATCACCTGAACCACCTGGGTGCTCTGTGTGACCTTGTCCCTTGTTCCTCCGGTGTCATGGAGTCTTGGACAACAAGGACACAGGTGCCTGGGATGGACGTGGCTGTCCCACTGAAACAGCAACAAGGGCAGGGAGCAGGGGAAGGCATCACTTACACAGGAGGTTTGGGAGCTGCATCGTCCAGCCTCCCTCTAACTCTGGGGAGGTAATGGGAACCAAATGAGTACTAGCACCTCCCTGGAGTTCCTGTGGCTGCTGCAGGCATCACATACTCAGGGAAACACCAGCTCCCTTCCCTGTCCCTGCCAGAGGGGAGTCCTGCCACTCCCCTCATCCCGAGGGGGCAGGGACTTCCAGCAGGACATCACACCCAGTGGTGGTATAAAGATCAAGGTGGGGGGCTGCTGCCCCAAGGGGAAGAGCAGGGCTCCTGGCCTCAGGGCTTGTGTCCACCACTCATGTTTCCTCTCAAGGAGACCAACCACTTTCTGCTGGTCCCCACTCTGTTTGCTCCCAGTTGTGCCTTTTTTAGACGCTTCAACCACTAGCTCCTGGCAGCCCTCCTTGGCCACAGCAGATATGTTACCTGAGCACCCTGACAAGGTCAGCTACATCTACAGAACCTCATGTCCCCCAGGTGCTGTAGAGCCGGGCTGTAGGAGCAGACTGGTGCCATTGTAAAGGGACCATGACAGACCTCAGCCCCAAAGCCAGCGGGGTCCCCCATGGCCAGGTGTAAAACATGCCCCAGCCCTGGTTCTCCCAAATTCTCCATCCTTCCCCTGCCTGTGTGAGCCTTGCAGACAGGCAGCTGTCTCACAGGAGCAGCACACACTGTGTTATCAGCATCCCTGGGCTCCCTGTGTCTCCCAGCCTTATAGAGCAAAGGTTTGTTTAATAAGGCTTTAGGAGTCAGAAGTGCAGTAAAATGGTTTAGTAGAAGAGTTATGGGGGAGACAAAACATAAACCAGGCTTATGCATCAGGAACAAAATATTACATATTTTTGGGGAAGTACCTGTAAAGGTGATGTGGAGATCGGCCCAGAGACATAGTGTCATAGCTGATGAAGCCCTGACATTAAAGCTTATCCGGTTACCTCCAGCCTCCCCAGTCTTAGGAGGCCACTGGAGTGCTGCCTCCCTGCAGCTTCTCCCGGCATATGCCAGTGCAGATGTCTCATGTCTCCATGCAAATAAAGATTCACTGAGGTCTTAACCTCTCACTTTTGACTTACAAGACTTTTGCATCTGAACAAAGTTGGGTATAATCCTTCTGCCTCTGCAGTCAGTGATGTTTGCAGTCTCAGCATGTTTTAAGCTTTTGCCAGTTCTCATGCATCTATTTTAGGCTGTAAGAAAAAAGGCAGCTCTCCCTGTTATTTGTCTGTGCTAGTTTTGTTTTGGGAGTTCCCACTTCCCGACAAGGGCCACAAACTCTTCAACAGGTTAATCTAAAAGTAATCCCCCAAATTTAACATCTTCCGTCCAGCACTGACACAGGAACCTGGAAGCCCACAGGTAAGGGCAGCTGTGCCTCAGGACTGGTATGTGTCTTCTCCTCTTGCAAGGCTCTTCCTTGCAGGCCAGTCCTTGGGGCACTTCTTGCTGATGCCTTTGGCTCACGCTCTTCTGGCTGCTTCAGAGGTGTTTGACAATGAACTCAACAGTTCCCCTCCTAGCAATTCCTCTTCACATATCTCTGTACCACCATCACCTCAATATCCACACCCCTCTACAGATACATTGCGCTGGATTTTGTAATTTACCTGTGCTCTCTGTCCTCTCCAGGCCCACATAGATCTGCTGAAGTCAGGCAGGTGAGCTGTGCCAGCAGCACCCCTGCTCTCATCCAGGGCCCCACCTCACTTTTTTCCTGCTCAGACTTTCTCTTGAGTTTGAAGGAGAAGCCCCCAGGCTCTAGTGGGAATTAAAAGGCCCCAGAGACTGGGAGATATAAGCAGACTGGGCAAAAAAAAATTTATTTCTCTGATGTAGGGTTTGGTGGGGAAAAGGAACCTGGAAATGTTTTGAGGAGAAATCAAAGAACAAAGCAAGCCAATGATGTCTGGGCAGCCGGTTGCCTCACAAAGCAGACCCCTTTTTGTCCTCCCAGCCCTGCCCTCTGAGACAGTTAATACTTTCATACTCCCAAAGAAATGGTCTTCATTAGAGAGAGTTTGGTTGCTTTCCTGTTCTGTTGTTAACCGACTGGGTTGCGTGAAAGAGCTACCTGGGGGTGCTGAGCCAGGGAGACCCCCTGCAATCAGTGTGCACAGGGTATGAAGCAACCACAGGGTAGCCCCACAGCAAGTACTGGCTCCAGCAGCAGCTGAACACAGGGACCGACCAGGCTGGTGTGGCTGTGATGGCACAGCACAAGGCCAGCTCCTGTCAAAATGAAACTCTCTTTTTAGAATCACTTCCTGTTGGAATGGGACATGCTCATAGGTTAGCAAGGGATGGACAAAGATGCAGGTGCCTCTCTTTTCCCAACAAATCTTAGTATAGTTTTTCTTAGGATATCCCTGGGATTTAATTCCAGCCCTCCTCCCTTTGCAGGTCCCCTGTCATCCCTCTGGAAAGGTGGTTAGTCAAACTGGGACCAATAATCCAACAGACACAGCAAACCAGTTGGCCTGAGCAGTAACTAACTGAGCACTCCTGGTTCAGCAAATCTCCTTCGCTAATAACTGTATTGATCTATTTGGCCCTGCAAGGCCTTTCTGGCCTCCCAAAAAAAAGCGAAGCCAGGAGGGCAGGAATACATGTTTCTAGGCTAAGACAGAGACTGCTATTTTCTACATACTAAGTGGTACTAACCACCAACTGGAATCTTGACTATGATGTCACTTTGCTGTACCTTTATGCATTTGTGCTGATGTTCCCTGTTCTGTACATTTGAAATAAGTTTGTAAAACTCAATGAGTCTACAAGAACTGGTAGAAGGGCCAGCTGAGAGCCCGGCATCAGGGGCAAGAGCACCCACTTGAAAGATGAAATCGGGAAGAGCCAAGGGTGCCATGGGCTGACCGTGATGAAGCGGCAACACACCCAGTACCTTAACTGGGGCAGCGGGAGGGGAGGGGCTGCTGGAGTGGGTGCACCCTTCGGGGGCCGGCAGAGGCAAAGGCTAATTAAAACACGGCTAATTAAGCGTTATGGGAGGAAGGAAAGGCAGCGGCAAAGACAGCACTTAACGAACAGGAGCTTGGTTAATTAAGGGCAATTAATGGTGAATAACGATGACAATAAAGCAAGCAGAGCGACGGCGCTCACCCCACGTTAACGGAGCGATGGAGCGCCTGCCTCGGCAGGGGCGGAACCCCGGTGGGGAAACCCGGCGCACAGACCCCGCCGGGGCGATGTGATGATTGATGATGATGATGATGATCTCTCATCCGCAGCCCAATCAGCGCCGGCCTCCCCGCCGCGCCCCTCCCGCCCTCCCGCGTGCCGGGATGCTTGGCGGCCACGCTGCCAGGTGCGGACCGCGGGCGGGCGGCGGGGAGCGGGCCGGGGGGCGTGCTGGTGAGCGGTGCCGGGTGGTGCCGGACGAAGGGCCATCGCTCCTCGCTGAGCCCGCGCCCCCCTCCCGCTGTCCCGCGGCGCGGGGCCATGAGCCGGGCGGAGGCCGAGCCCTGCTCCCGGGCGCTGGCGCAGGCCCGCGTGTACCTGGGGCAGCCTGCGGAGCCGCGTCAGCCCGGCGGGCCCCGAGGGCGGCGGGGGCGGCGGACTACCTGGTGGAGGCGGCGCGGCAGCTGCGGCTGGCGCTGGAGCGGGACGTCAGCGAGGACTACGAGGAGGCCTTCAACCACTACCAGAACGGCGTGGACGTGCTGCTCCGCGGCGTGCAGGGTGTGTGCGGCCTCCCGGGAACGGGGCACCGGGGCAGCCCTCCGGGGACACCAGCCAGGGGACCAGGGCATCCATCTGGGGAGTGCAGTGAGGGGGTCAGGGTATCCCTCCAGGGAGGATGACAAGGGGGACCGGGACGTCCCTCTAGGGACTGTGATGAGGGCACTGGGGCATCTGTCCGGGGAGTGCAGCCAGGGAGTGCATCCCTTCTGGGAGAAGGGTGAGGGGACTGGGGCATCTCCCTGGGGACTGTGGCCAGGGCACCAGGGGAGCGTGGCAGGCCCCTCACAGCCACTCTCTGCACCAACCACAGTGGACCCCAATAAGGAGCGTCGGGAGGCCGTGAAGCGGAAGATCACACAGTACCTGAGGCGCGCCGAGGAAATCTTCAACTGCCACCTCCAGCGGGCTGCAGGGGGTGGCAACACCACTGCCACGGTGAGGGGCTCATGTGGGGCAGCATGGGTGGGATGGCAGCAAAGCTGCATCACTGGGAAACCGTGGGGGACACAGATAGAGCAGCCCCAGTGAGCCTCTGCCACATGCCACAGTATGATGGTGTAGAGAAAATGGCATACACATCAAGCTTCAAAGTGTCCTGGCATGCCAGTGGCTGTGTGGGAGCTGGCAGCTCTTTGCCCTGCCTGGATCAAGGAGCTGACATGGGCCCAGCTTTCCTGGGATGTTTCCAGAACCACCCCCCCCGAAAATGTGTACGCTTAGCTTGCTGTCACCATAGTGAATATGGCCATTTTTGGGGAGACTGAAGCCACTGCAGGTAACCACCTTGTCAAGTGTTAAAAATGTCATCTTCCCTGTCATTGTTCCCATCTTTATGGAAACCAATGGCTGCTTGCTGAATTGTGAGGAGGAGGTGGTTAAAGAAGGGAGAAGGGAGTGAGGCAGGGCAAGGTTGGGGCTTGGTAAGAAGGATGAGGGGAGAAATACAACTACCTTTCATATAGATCCCTTTAGTAATGAAACAGTTCAGGTCTAGCTATAAATTTTGAAGTGATTTTACCTCTGCTGCAGGTACAAGCTTTCCCTGAAAAGTTCAGAAATCCAGGGACTGGCCAAGAAAATGGTTCAGCTGATGTTAGGAATGAATCACAGCCATAATTCATTCATTTGGAGTGTTGTCTCTGAATGTTGACCAGGTAGGCAGTATTGCTGCCTCCTCTGGAAAATGCTGGGATTTCTCCCACCCCATGTCATGGACAGTAGCATCTCTAAGTCCTTCATCCTCTTCTCTCACTGCCTTGCAGGGCTATAGCAGCCTGCGCTTCCGGCCCATCAGGACGCTGAGCTCAGCAGTGGAGAACCTGAGACGGTGTAAGGTTGTGGGAGTGATTGATAAGGTAATGACTTGGTGTGGAACTGGGAGGGTGAGGCTGCAGCTAGACCAAAGGGAGTGTAAACTGGAGGGTCTTAGCAGCTGGGATGGGGGTGCTAGCCCCTAGCACGCCCACCAGGGAATGTGGGGTTATCCATCCACACCATTCCCACTAAGAATAATTCACAGGACTGGATTGAAGAACCCATTGGAGTTAATCGTGAAATCTGTTCATGTCCCCATTATTTTTGCTTACCAGAGCTCCCAGGTTATTTACAAGGAGGTTGATACGTCCAGTTCTTTCCCACACATGGAATCATGGTTGATGATAGGTGTCGCAATGGTAGATTCCTGTGGGTAATCTGGACTTCAGCAGAAGATGAGCTATCTGGATGAATAAACTAGTTACTAGTTTGTGATCTCGGAACGAAGATGCCAGGCTTACTGACCCCATACACACACTACACATTGCTCTCCACTGCTGTTCCCACATCTCAGTTTGTCCGGACTGATGTGGTCTTCCTGTCATGATGAGGCCCAGGTTTGAGCCTAGTGCACTCCAAAGAGCTCCTGGAAGGAGCACTGTGAAACCCTTTGGTGTGAAGGAAGGAAAAATGGCATGGGAGTCACCTCTTGGGTTTAATTAACTCTCTGCTTCCTGGCTGCATGGCTGTCTCCTTGCTAATAACCTTCATTTTGTCTTTCAAGAGTAGAGGTTTGAGCCCCACCAAACTCCTCTAGTTGGGTGGTAGTTTTTTAAGTTCCAGAGTTAAGTCTCTTGGGTCATTCCTGTAGGCTGTGTGTTGGGGTGGAAGCAGTGATTGCTTCTGACAGGTACTGTGAATACTGCTTCCAGGTGCAGATCGTCCAGGATCCAGCCACTGGTGGGACCTTTATACTTAAGGTGAGTGTTTTCAGTTTCATCTGCCTGTTTCTCCCTGTCATGCCAGGGCCTCCTTGTTCAAGCAGGTGGCTGGGGCAGGTGAAAGGACCAAAAAATAGCAGCTCTCAGAGGTGTTGGAGGAAGTTCATGGTTCACAAAGCTTCTTCTGGCTGCCTCAGCCATCCTTTGTGATCAGAAGGGAAGTAGTTCTCCTTGGTCATCTGTTTCTCTGCTTTGTAATGCTTCAAGCCAAGACTTATGCCCCTGTTAATCTGGTCAACCCCTGAAACAAGTTATGGGTGAGATGTGCTCAATGCAAGTTCTAGAGCATTTTCCAGTCCCCTTGGAACTAACAATAAAGGATTTCAATAATTGGACCAGGAGGATCTGGCATGACAGGGAGAGCCATCAGTTCCAGGGGAAGAGGAGAAAGGGCTGGCATAGCAGGTTCCTGCCTGAAGGGAGCAGGGGTGGTTGTGGGGTGGTCACTGCTCTGGACCAGCAGTGCCCTCTGGATCCCACAGTACAGGTGGGGAGTGCCATGCCTTGGCAGAGCTTTGCAGAGGGCTGCCTTATCACGGCTGAGTGCTGGGGATGGACAGACCTCTCCGCAAGAGCTGCGCGTTTCCACAGATGGGGAGTTCCATTGCAGGTGACACAGTCGAGCAGCCATGGGGCTTGGAAGACGGCACGCTACCTTCTGGCTGGCCTCCAGTCCTGCCATGTGCTAGGCAGCAGGGAGTCCCAGTCCCTGTGCTGTAACACACATTTGCCTGTACCTCCTCAGAGCCTCCCCAAATCCCATGTTGAGACCCGTGAACGACAGACCATCATCCCTCATGGGGTCCCCTTCATGGTCAAGCTGTTGTGCTACTATGTGAGTGAGGACTCCATCTTCCTCCACCTGGAGCACGTGCAGGGTGAGTGGAGACAGCCTTGCCTCCTGTCTGTGAAGCATCTTGGTTTATCCCTAACCTCCCTTTCTTTAAAATCCCAAATACGTTTCTCCTACTGTTTTGGAACTAATTTTTATAGTGACAGTGCAAGTCTCCTTCATAGGAGGGTGGTGGGTACCAGGGCTTGAAGACTCTGTGGACGGAGCTGCTCACATGTAGTAGGAATTCTGGAGATTTGATAAGAACTGACTGGGCATGTAACCTAGAAATGGGCTTGTGGAGACCTACAAGGAGAAAGAGGTTGTGTGTTGGGGGATGTTATATGGAAGCTAGCCACCTTGTCTCATGGGAAGGAATGCCTTTAGGTAAAGAAGTTGATGTCATCCAGCATCTTTAAAAGAAAAGGAGGCTGTGCAGAATGGGGAGCAGGGCTGCTAAAGGAGGAGACTTTGATGTGCTAGGTCCTTGGGGGAGGTGTGGTGTTGAGCATGGTGTGCTCGCAGGGCTAGGGCATATTCTGCATGGACTTGAGCTTTGCTGCAGGGGAGATTAATGATGCTCAGTCACATCCTCAGTATGTGGGCCTTGGCCTGTGCTTGAATGGGCTGTGTCCATGGTGGGAGAACCAGGGATACCTTGTTCCTCATTGTGGTGGTTTGGGCTAGGCCTTCCTTGGTGACCAGTTTGTAACCAAGGAAGGGTCCAGATTTACCCAGTATTCCCTACGATTTTTACGTAAGCCAGATTATAAGAAGAAAGGAGGAGAGGCCTTCGCTCTCTTTCCTTCCGGCGGCTTGGAGGTGCAGGTTCCCTGCTGTTGAGTCTGCCATGTTGGGGAGCGAGGCCTGGTTGGGCCTTGTCGACCTTGGGAGACAGAGGTTGCCGGCGATCGTTCCGGAGCGACCCTCGGTTGTCCCAGGAGAGTAGTGAGCTATTTCTTTGCTAACTCTTTTAGTGGATAGATATTGGGCTGCTAATTGGGATATTTATTATATATATAATATTTTAGTTTTGTTCCCTTTTTCCCTTCCCCCTTCCCTTTCCCTTATTTTAATTGTATATAAGTGTAAATATATTTATATATCTCACTTTGGTTGTCTCTCTCTCGTTTCGGGTTTTCTTAGTTTTTTTTCTCCCTCTTCTCCTTGAGGTTTGGGGGGGGGGGGGAACTCTGGTGGTAAGGTTTGGAGACTTGGCAGGGAGCAAGCTTCAAACCATATCACTCATCATTTGTTCTTCTTTCTGATTTCCAGGGGAGACACTGTGGTCTCACCTCCGCTCCAAGTACTGCGTCCAGGAGGACTCTGATTCAAACACCATTCAAGCCCTGAGGGACCGTGGCAGAGAGGATGGTGTGGGAACCTCCCAGGGTAGCAGCCAAGCTTGGCTAGGCAGTGGCCTCCCAGGCTCTGTGACCCACCAAAACACTGATGCTTCACTACCTCAGGAGCAGTCCCTTGGGCCCACAGACCCCAGCTCAGGAAACCACCACCAGCTTCTCCTGGCTCCTGCCAGCAGCATGAGGGCAGCACCTGGAGGACAGGATCCAAGCATGACTGTGTCTGGTGTCGTGGACTATTTTCCATCAGCCAAATGCCCTGGCCACCTCGCTGGCCAGGGCCTGGTTGTCTACCTCTGGGATGATCTAACCAGCAGCACAGGCTGCGTATCAGAGAGAACAGCCTCCCAGCAAGACTCCAGGCTTCCCCAGGCCCTTGCCCCTGGATCAAAAAGAAGGGTCCAGCCAGGGGCAGGGGAACCACTGTCTCAGAAAGTGTCTGAGGTCTCCGGGGCTCAGCCTCTCCTGATCTTGGGTCAGAGGCAGCTTCCTGCACGAGTTGCCCTGTCCAGCTCTGGCAAGCCCTGTGGGCCTGACCCAGCAGCGTGGGAGCCCTCACGAGAAGCAAGCTTGACCTGTGGCCAGCTCAGCAAGCAGCAACCATCAGGACCATGCAGGGCTTTGGCTTCCCACAGGCAGAACCAGAGAGCGTGGGCTGTGAAGGAGGAGCAGGTGCAGCTGTGGGCAGCAGAAATCCTCCTGGCCTTAGAGGGACTTCACCAACAGGGTGTATTGTGCCGGGACCTCAACCCCAGGAACCTGCTGCTTGATGCAGCTGGTAGGTAGTGCCCCATGCTGCTGCTCCGAGGAGGACAAGGTTGGTCTCTCAGCTGGGAGACTGCTGCTTGCCCCATTTCCAGGAAACATGGACTTTTCTTGAGTTTCCTTTGGAGGAGGATGGGAGTTTGGAGAGGTTTGAATGTTCCTGAAGTTGGAAGTGTGATCTCAGGTTTTCCAAGTGGTTAGTACAAGATTTGGCTCTGCAGGAGGAGAATCAGGGGCTATAGCCACAGGAATGCATTGCCCCTGCTCCCACATGGGGGCTGGCTGCTTGGGAAATCCCAGCATGGGAAAGCTGAGACCAGCTGAGGTTAATGGGACTGCAGTTTTCTCCTCCTAGTTACTTCCTGCTGGGGTGTTCTGGAGCCTTCCCATCCTTTTGTGCTATGGGTACCACTCTGAGTGCAAGTCACTGCTCAGCTGGCAACATCTGGGGCAAACATCTGGAGAGCTACTAATTGCTTAAGAAAAATGCAGAGAGTTTTGCAAGAGGAAAGATAACCTTCCCCCTCATCCCCCAAAAAGCCCCTTCTTTCCTCACCACAGCCTGCACTGAGGTCTGTTAGCTTGGAGCCCACCTAGCCAGTCTCTCCAGCTCAAAGTGCTGCATATCCCAGGCAAGCACTGGAAGGCTGGGGGGGTGTGTGATGCCAGGGGATGCACAGTGCCTCTGTGTTCAGAGCATGACTGGGGCCTAGTACCCTGGCTGTTCCCAGTGTGGGGATATGGCTTGGCTTAGTGCTCCAAACAAAGTCCCTAGTCTTGTCCTAATCTCCCTGCTTTCGGCTCCGGTGCTGCTCTGCAGGTCATGTCCGTCTCACCTTCTTTGGCCAGTGGACTGAGGTGGAGCCCCAATACTGCAGCCAGGCACGGGAAGAGCTGTACAGTGCTCCAGGTAAGGGATGTGAGCCCTGCCTTGTCCTGCCCTCTTCCCAGTGCCACCAACTGGGGTGAGGGAGCTTCTGCAGGCAGTGAGATGTGCCCAGCATAGTATGGCCATTTGTGCTCCCTGCCTCCCCCATTAACCCCTCTCTGGCTTTTTCTGCAGAAGTTGGGGGGATCATGGAGCCCACTGAAGCAGCTGACTATTGGAGCTTTGGCTCGCTCTTGTATGAATTGCTGACAGGAGTGGTAAGAGGCTGAGCTGTGCAAGGAGGGTGGGGGAGGAGGAGGTGACACTGTAGCACAAGGGCTTCCTGCTGTGCAGGGGCTGGAAGGCTGCCTTGTCTTGCTGGCACCTCAGTGATTTGCCAGGTCACTTTGGACAAGTGATTCCTAGTGCCTGTGCATGGTCTCTGGGTGTAAAAAGCCCTGGGTTTTAAATCCTGCTGTGTAGGGCTGGGTTGTGTAGCAATGAAGGCTCAGCGAGGTGCTCCTGCGCTCCTCTGTGCCTCTGCTTACCATCACCCTCTGCTTCCTGCAGCCACTCTCACAAAACCATCCGGCGGGAATTCAGCCTCACACCCAGCTACATCTGCCACAGGGGCTCAGCCTGGCTGCTACATCGCTGCTCACCGAGGTGAGGGACTTCCGGTGGATGGGAGGGAGGACAGGGCTAGAGGCTGGGGAAAGGCAGACTGGATTGCTTTTCCAGTGTTCCCATCTACCCCTCCTACTGTCCCATCCCCTTTCTCTGCAGCTCCTGCAGTACAATCCAAAGCAGCGCTTGGGCTCCGGAGGAGGTGGCATGGCCAAGCTGAAGTCCCACTCCTTCTTCAGCACTGTCCCCTGGAACAAGCTGGTGGGCTAGGCAGGCTGTGCTTCCCTTAGGGAGCTGGGCACCGATCCTCTGTCCATGGCACTTGTGAACCCAGGTGGCACTGGCAGCTCTGCCTGCTGGGGAGAGTTTGCCTCAAGGGCTGCCCTGGGCTGGGGTACACATGAAGTTTTGCAGCCTTACATGGCCTGTCTCTGCTGCAGGCTGGGCCAGGCTGTCTTCTCATCCAGGTCCTCCCTAGTGGGAAAGGGAGCCCAGGTGCTCACCCCCAGGGAGAGACCATGTGCCCCTTCTGGGGCATCCCTTGCTCAGCTTAGCACCACACCCTGGAACTCCTCATTTTTTCTCTCTGCTGCTACCACAGTGACCTTCCTGCTCTGTTATTTTTTGTGGCTTTCAAATGCAGCCCCCCTGGGTACTGCTGGCTGGAGCCCAAGCTCTCTGCCCATCCCTTACTGCATGTCTGTGTGTGTGGGTAATGCCTGCTGCAGGAGATGGGAGGGAACCCTCTGCTCTTCTCCCCCTCACCCTCTGAAAAAATAAACCACTCATTATTGCTTGAAGAGATGTTCTTTTGTTTCTGAGCTGAACGAGCTAGGCCTTAGGCCAAGCATGCTGAGCAAGGGAGAGCCCCAAATCTGTTTCTCAAACCTGCCTGTGAGCACCAGGTTGGTGTCATCCCCTGGCCATCAGCACCATGCAGCCAAAATCCAGAAGCTGGCAATGAGTGCCTGGCCATCTGCCCTTGTGTCCTGCTTGCCTCACAGCCTCTCAGGTTTGCACAGCCAGGGGGCTGCAGCTCAGATTTGGGAGAAATGCAGAGTTTCTGTGTTTTCTTCCAGCCTTGATTTTTGTCATCATTACCTGTTGTGGCTCCAGCCTCCCGTGCCTGGTGCTTCTTCCAGCTGGCAGGGCAGCAGCCCAGCCCTCCTCATTGCTGTGCTTTGAGCAGTCATCCCTGGTAGACCAGACAGTGAGGGCTTAAAGAGGTGAGCTCTGAAAGCCAGCACAGAGGGAAGGAGGCCAAGTGTACACACATTCAGGATGGAACAAAAAGTAGCGTGAACACTGGTGTCTGCTAACAGCCCAAAGCAGAGGCTGCCGTGCTCAGTTTTGCAACTCAAAGCCGCTCAAAGGCTGAAGGACAAGCTTGCAATGGCAGCAGTCTAGTTCTGGCCCTCCTCTCCCAGCACTCCCTCACACTGTACACTTATCTCGGATAGTAAGGAATTACTGGCACCAGTGAAACTTCTCTATGGCTAGCTGGTTCCAGCTCCTGCTTGCTATCAGCAGTAACACCTTGCTGGTTGAGCCTGGCTCTTGGGAAGCAGCAGGAATGCTTGTCCACCAGAGGGAAGCAGAGTCTGGGAGAAACTCATCTGCACCAGCAAAGGTAGGGACACACCTTAAAGGCTGTGACAAAATGGGAGGACTAAGCAGGGAATGACCACTGATGCCACAAGCAGGCCAGAGGGCAGGAGCAGCTGAGCCTGGGGCTTTTCCTCTCCAGGGCCGCCTGCACTGTCCGAACTGTCCAGCTACAGGCTTGTACCCTTGTCCACCAGCCTCCTAGTCCTGTGATTCAGGGGAGGTTCAGGATGAAGGACCCTGTGGCTAAAGTCACGGCATGGCTTCCTGCAACTCAGTGCCATGGGTGTCACCCAGGAGGGTCAAAAGAAAGGAAGCTTCAAGCATGACCCTCTACAGTGAGCCCTGACAGGGCTGGTTAAATAAAGCAGTTTGCTAGGCTGCCTCATTTTAAAAGCTTGACTGTACATTCACTCCTTAGTTAGTTCAAAGGCCTCATTTATTGCAGCTCCAGGCAGAATACAGGCATTGCCCTTCCCCCGGCTCACAGGCCCTCCATATCCTAAACCAGCAAGGAGGGCTTGGAGCTAGCAGCATTTTTAAATCAGAACCTTCTCTTTCACTCATTTGCAAGAACAACTAGACCCTTTGCCCTTCCAGAAAAGGGAAGGGGTTTTTCCTCTCCTTCTAACCTTCTACCTCAGCTAGGGTCAGGGAGAAGAAAGCTGACTCCACACACTGTTTTATCCCTAGCTGCCAAGAAAACGCAGGCACAAACTGCTCTCCCTTTTGTCAGCCTACCAGCTGTGAGTGCTATCGTTTTCTATTAGAAGGGGCTGCCCTCTTCACCCATAGCTGGGAAGGGCAACCCATTCTCTGAAGTTGATGTCAGAGCTGGGAAAACCCTGCCATGATCCGGGAATGATTTTGTATTGTTCCAATAAGGACAGTTCCTTGGGGAAACACTCAGCACCACAGCCAGCTTCTGCTTTACAGTTCTTTGAGCTCCTTTGAGGCTTTGAGCCTCCTTTCTCCTGCAACTCCCAACAGCCTTTTCCCCATGTGCATGATTTACAACTCTCCCCTGTTGTAGCAGTGAAAACCCAACCTGGCTCCACACCTGTACTTTATGAGCCTGTCTCAGGTCTCCCTCTTGGCCATCATGCCCCTTAGCAAACAGTGGGAATTCCTCACCATATGTAACAATTCTGTTGCTAGACCAAGAAAAGGATGATTTCCAGCCCTGAAAACGTCATCTTTGCCGGGAAGAGCCAATTCTTTGGCAGGGAGTTAAAGGACAGTAGAGTTCACAGGCAGAGAAGCCTCAATTTAGTACCACCACTGGTGGGCCCAGCTCCCATTGCCTTTTTCCTCTCACCACCAGGTAACAGGCTTCTTACACTGCACAAGGGATGCTGCTGATTACTGAGTCCTTGCCCAGGAGCCGCTCCCTCAAACACACCCCACCTTGCAGTCATTGCCCACTTTTATTTCATTTAAAATCCGCTGTGTTAAATATTTTAGTTACAAGTTCTGTGTAGGGGGTAAGAGTAATAGACTCTGCAGGCACTAGCAACCCCCTCACCCCTCAATACATGTGTGCGCTATCAGATTAAGGACTGACCCCTCCCCCCAAAACCAGCACCCATGGGCTGGGATATACATTACAGTGAAAGGCCTGGCCCCCCCAGCTGTGTCTGCTGGAAGCAGGCCAAGCCCCTGCACGCAGGAAGCCAGCAGTCAGATCCACCACCAGTGAGCTGTGATTCAAGGAGAGTTGCTGGGGGCTCGTTCTCACCCCCATGTCAGGCCTGTAATGGTGAAAGGGTTGTCCCCGGGAACACTGCTACCTCCACAGAGGTCACGGGCGCTGCCCACCTGGACACGAACATTCACGCCACAGTGACCAGGCTGGTGAGAGACAAACAATCTCCAAGGGAAAGCAGGGGAGCTGCTGCCACCACGTTACTGTCTGTGGAGGGAGTGTAACTAGGGCGCTGCCAGAAGCATGACGCCTACCTCAAGCCCTGCTCTGGTCAAAACCTCTGCTGCAAGGAGCCTGGGGGTCCCCCAGACTGCCCTTGCAAGGCAGGTGAGTGTGAAATATTTTCAAGCAAAAAATGGACAGGACAGTAGCCTTTCCTTTCCTCTCCCTCCCAGGAACCTTAGTGCTAGGCAATAAAGCTGAACCCGTCATGGAGGGGCGGGGAAAGTACCCTAGCACGGTAGCAGCAAGCAGTTTCCAGTGGTATTGGACAAGCTAGAGGTGAGATTTTGGTGCTGTGAGGGAGAGGATGCTGTACAGATATCTCTGGAAAGGCAGTGCCATTCAGTGGTTGGCCCACTGCATGGCAGTTCTTGAGAGATACTAAACCTTCATTAAACAGAATAGGAAAGGAGGTAGGAGCTATCCCTGTAATTCCCTCTGGGACAGCTCTAATCACAGCGGAGGGAGAGAGACTGGAATGACCCTTGCCAGTTCCTGAATGCCCTGCATTGTCCCTGCTGGTGCTGTGGCCTGTCCTGGGTGGGTTGTGTGGGGGTGTGACTGCTCTACAGGTCGAGCAGCAGCACGCGGGGATCCTCCACCGCTGCCTTGATCTTGCGCAGGAAGGTCACTGCCTCTCTGCCGTCGATCAGCCGGTGATCGTACGTCAGCGCCACATACATCATAGGCCGCACCTCGATCTGAGAGGCAGGAATAAGACAAGGATTAATGAGCTCAGCCCTACTGCCTGCATGATCCCCTCCTGTGAATTCAGGGAAGACCCCAAATCCAGGGCTCAAGCCCTCCTGGATTTGTACTGCCTGGCAGGATTACCTAGCCACTCAGCCAGGCTTGGTCCAGGCCACACACAAGACTAGGTCCCTTTGTGGAGCTGTTCCCTATCACAAAGGCTACAACCTCCTCCTCTCTGCACCTAACCAGATTATGTCCAGTTCCACCCCTCATAGATAGGACAAGGCCCCCTGCACACCTAAGGCAAGTACAAGGGACAGCAGAGCTGCCCTACACCCATTAGTCTCTGCTTCTCCTTCACAGTAAAGCCTTTTAGAAGTTGACAACAATCCCTTAGAAAATATGGACTATGGTCCTCAACTCACTGAGCCCTTCCCTCTGTTCACTAAAACCTGCAGTGCAGGTCCACCTACCTTGCCTCCCACAGCCACAGGCCTGTCAAAGATGGCATGCATGCCTAAGATGGCAGACTGGGGTGGGTTAATGATAGGTGTCCCAAAGAGTGACCCAAAAACCCCTCCATTGCTGATTGTGAAAGTGCCACCGTCCATGTCTTCAATGGCCAGTTCATTCTTCCGTGCCTAGAAGAAAAAGTGAAGTCTTAGAAAGCCACAAAGATCACAGAGAGCAAAGGAAAGGGTTTAGACGTTCACTCTCTCCATAAATACTGATTGCAAGAGCTTTGCTTATCGATCTATTCAGCTGAAACCCAGCACAAATTAGTTGAAAATGCATCTGTCTTTAGAGCTGAACATTTAGTGGCTTTAGGGAAGGATTCTCTCGCCTTTTCTTCTAAGTCCTGTTTTTGCAGGAAACAAGACACAGGGACTTCTATCCCAGGGCAGTTAAGCCTCGGCCTCTAAAGACAAAGGTGAAGACACACCATGCCACTAATGAATAGTTTGTGGTCTTCTGAAAGGACAACAAGTAGATAGGGCTGTCCTGGAAAGCACAGGCACAGCTACAGATGTAACTGGATCACTCCCCACAGCACAACTCAGTATGTTAGAGGTCCAAGATGACAACACAGAGAGACCAAATCAATTCATGCCTATCCAGCACTCCCAATTCCTCCCATGCCTCCCAACCCTCTTCAGGAAAACCTCCAACTTTCCTTACCTTCTCCCCCAGCTCGTGGATAGCGCGCTCTATGTCAGCAAAGTTCATGTTTTCTACATTCCTAACCACAGGGACCACCAGACCCTGTGGAGAACCAAAGTGCATGAATAGCAAATTCACTGCAGCGACACACAGATAGCTATTATGGGGCAGGAGCCTGGCTGCAGACCCATAGAGTTCCTGCCTTACCCTCAGTGCACAGCAGGTGGTGGGAAGAGCTGCCTTGCACCCTGGCAGCCTGACGGGAAACCTGGCATGACACACACCAAGGGCTGACACCATAAAGGATATCTTTGTCTTCATTAGCCTGTCTCATAAAATCAACTAGGTCTGTCTGGATCCAGCTCCACATTCATAAAAGCAGGTGAGGCACTGGACAGATTTCAGCTG